AGTTGAAATTTTATCACTTATCTTTGAGATATCCTTTATAACATATCTTTAACATAATTGGATATTATTACTGTAATTAACAAAATTACACATTTTATATAACAGCTTATGGTACTTGCAATAAATTGAAATTATGTACTCAAGAGAAGATTAAATACTTTGTCACCATGTCACTCCCTACCCTATTTCCTTTCCAATTTAAAATCTTGTGCAAATATAGAAATTATGGGAAATCTTTTAAATTTTCTAAAACTCTAATTATAAAAACAACTGAACGTTGGGTTACAGAGATATAGCACTTCCATGTTTTTTTTAATGGAACTCCCTGAATATGTTTAAGCAGTTAGATAAAATATTTTCTTACTATTATTTTCATATAAAGTATTTATGGGTCTATGTCAAATAGTAAGGGAGATCCGGGCGAAAAAATGTGTCACTAATGTAAAAAGTTTGTTATTGTAAATTTTGATAAAGTATTGTTATGTTACAAGTAAACAGTGACTATACAATGTCGCTATGTGGTTAAAATTAGGATTCCATCAACGTTTCTGGAAAAAACTGTATTTAGTTTTTCATGATTTTTGGACCGGTATAAAAGAGAAAGATAGTAGACTCTTGAGACTTATTTGGCTCTAAATAAGCAAGGACTGCTTCAGGATATCGAAAGGCAACGCTTGATTTCAGATGGTGTACTCATACTCATCAGACTTCTGGTTATAGAACTATAAGAACTCAGAGTCGACATTCGATCACGCCTCATGGTGGCTATGCCAATAATTCTCGGGAGCTGCTGTCCAGTTTGGATCCTGACAAGTGCTTAACTGTTCTAAATTTATGTAAGGAACATGATTTCATGTCCCAACTCGAATTTCGTGGTATATCTGAATTAATTCAAGGAAAAACTCGAAACTGGGCTAAAATTTTTGAATTGTTGCGGCTTTGTGGACAAATATTACTGAAAATTTTGATTTCTGTCCTGCGCGTTCTACTCTAGGAGGATGGTCGGTTAGAGGCCCTTGAGCAATCAGCAACTATTTTTCAAACAACTAATAATAAATCCCAAAGTTTTGTAGACATGCATATTAATGTCATTACTGTAATTAACAAACATGAATTTGGCATCATATGCTAATAACCTGGTAATATTTGAACTGGTCATACTTTGTGAAGCATACCGCATCTGTTTCTGGTTTAGAAATCTACATAATTAGTTACCGCTGACAGTAGTTGTGTTTTAGCAAATGGCATGTCCAATATCTTTTACATGATCGTCCATTAAAATAATTGTTTGCCCGTATATTGTACTAATACTTCTTACAAAATAAGTACAGTGTATTTTCTTAAAGAAGTTGCTCTAGAAAACCACATGTGAGCTCCTTTTTGCCTGCTCTGTTTAAGGCTGTTCTGCTGAACTTCAGTTGTCAATAAAATCTATCAAATATGCCAAAATAACAAAGAAAAAATAATAAACTCACACATTTAACAATGTTCGGTTAAATATTGGATCTGCTACTGTAGACTAATGCAAAAGTGTGACAATATCTTAAAGGTAGTCAGAGAAATTTGGGCCGATGGAATCTATTTCCAATTTTACATCTGTGAACTACTGTTGGTTGCTGCTAATAGACTGATAAATGTTTCATCAACAGTCTCATCTGCTAGCCCACAAATGATGATGGATTCCAAAGTTTTTTAAATCATTGACAACTTGAAATCTCGAAAACTGCTTTTGATAGGAATTTCTTGATGTTAGAATGAAAACACGAACCAATTTGAGAACTCTGACATTGGATTTGGATTTAGTGGGTCAAAACACTAGACGACACACTGGTCTGGTCGACAACATAGCAAACTTTTTTTTGTGGCTCTGTTATTGTCACCTAACATGGTGTCGAGAATATTATACAAAAATCCCTTTCAGTCGTGCCATTGTCATTCTGACAACAAATATTATTATCTGCGGATTTTGCAAGTCGAAAGAAACTTTGTTGGAAATGAAGATCAATGCCACTGAAGACAACTGTTGATAATGATACAATAATACGTCCGTATAAAGATATTTTCTATCGAATTTATTAGTAAACGTCCATTAAACCATTCTCGTAAAACTCGTTTTATGAACGTATTCGTGAACATTTCCATTTAGAGCGTGAAGTGAGGAGCGAGAATTTGTTAAACTTTCAAATTATCTTCAAGTGGGCTTATATTTTTATATAGTGTACACAAAAAATTCCTCGTGCCGTACCATATTAGTAATTCGTTAACCTCCACCGCAATATATTCATTCGTTAAGGATGCGAACACCATGGAATGGTTCAACAAATATTTACTTATTATGTAACGATAAATAATGTAACAGGTAGTAACAAGGTGTGCCTCCAAAAACGTTCCTAATAGTAATTAACTATAAAGGGGCAGTTTTTTTTAAATATCTTTTACAGGCACAGCAACATCTGTGAATAAAGGATTTAGAAAGATTTTATCAAAGCATGTAAATTCATACGTTCTATAGCTTTCATAAAATCAACAGTAAATTAAATAATATAAGTTATAATATAAAAATCATTTTCAATATTTACTGAAATACGTTTACAAAAGAAACTGATAATTTACTATACATCAACAATAATTTTCTAGAAAATATAAATATTTATTCTTATTAGTACTTATTTATTATTAACGTCATATAGAAAAGTAATTTAATAAAAGAATTGTTGTAATAACCTTAAACCGAAATTATATGAAGTTTTTATTTTTCATCCAACGAGATACTTTAGTAGGTCCTTTACTCCACGTAAAACCTCCTCTTAAGATTGGTATTGGATCATAAGAAATATAAACATTAGTCGTACAATTTCGTGAATTTTGTATATTTTGCAGCAGTGGTGTAGACAAGTGCACTAGGAATATATTAGATAGATAGATCGATAGATATCATATAGTTTAAACACCAAATCGGCAGACCAGTTATGTCAGACTTGATCTGCTGATCATGTCTTTCACGTATTGGTACCTTGGATATTAAATGCCTGTTTATAGGTTTTATTATTTGTTTACTTGTAATATGCATAATATGTAAATTATAGGAAACATAAAGATTCATAATTGAGCAGCTACTGGTCCTTTAAGTAATTATTATATAATTTAAATAATATACAGGGTATTTCACCTTCTGTAACTCTGTAACTGTAAAATTGATAAAAAAAAATGATTTTAATAAAAGTTGTCTGGAATCATGTAAAGAAAATATTTTTAGCTTTACAGGGTGGGCGCTACATAGCTTTGTTACTTTAAATGGAACACCCTGTATATTATTGCGCTTTTAAATTCCTTGGTTAATATTAGGTAGAGTTTATTAAATGTACATGGTGTTTAAAACTTACCGTTCACGATCACGATCACGAAAATCACAATTTCAGCTCTTTAAATGAGGCTAGGTAGTGTCTAAACCGTAACAGTTAGAAACCTGCAGTTTTCACAGTTCATTTTGGCAAAAATTATTCTATATTGTCATCTATGAGCAAAACGTGTACGTTATTCAGACTCGGAAATACTGAAGCCTACATTTAATAATCTTACGAGTTGAAAAACTTTTTTTTCAAATGGAATGACCCATATTAATTGTCATGGGTGAATGCAAAATTGAACATTTCGACTGATACCAGGCTGTCCATACTTATCTCTAACAGTTTTCCAGAAAAATCAGGTTCTTTTCTAAAGTCCGAAAAAGTAGCTATGTAGAATAACAGCGTCAAGAAGGCCATTTGTACAGCGTCGATACATAGGATTTTACAAAAGCACAGCACAGCACATCCTTATCGCATCCAATTACACCAAGAGTTACTAAAAGTAAAATAAAAAAACCATTTGGGATACTAGCTGCTTGACGCACTATGCCTGGTTTTTCTCGAAAACGGGTAAATTCTTACAAAAGCACCTTTTTTGTTTAGAATAAAATTTCCCATAACGACAAATGACAAAAGGGACAAAAAGATTAACCTCAAAAAAGTTAGGTCCTAAAATGTTCCCGCGGAGTACTGCACTGAACGCCCTGTATGATATAGCCAAAAATTAATAACTCCAGAGCATTTAGCATCCCCAGAAACCTTATATAACAAAATTTCAGTTCATTCGGTCGAATTTTGTGGAAGATAGGACCGAAACTAAATTCTAAAAAAAAAAATTATTTTTATTTTTGTATCTCAAAAACAGAAAAAGATACGCCCATGGTTCATAGAAACAAATTGTAATATTTTTCGAAATTCTATCAGGCCTTGAATTTATGCTAGTGTTTTTCAGAACTCCCTATATTAAACAGGGTGAAATAAATATCGTCCGAAATTTATAATGTTTTCTTACAAATACGAACATTCGTTTTTAAGATACAGAGGGTACAAGAATTAAGGCACGCCACTGGTAAAAAAAAATGTGTATTATCGAAAATATCTTTCCCAGTGGTGTGCCACAATTTCAGGGGGGATTTGAAATTAATTTTTTTCACATTTAATTCCATTTTATTTATTTCGTTCTAATATCTCATTTGGTCATAAAATATTTAGAAGTACTTTTTTTAACTACTTTTAACACCCTACACTTGCTTGTAAATAAAAATATTAAAAAATGTTGACGAATAAAATGCTTCTTCATTTTTAAGGCGTCTTTGTGTTGTATTACACCCTGTATACATATCTAATACCGTAAGCTGAATAAACATACCTACATATACATATGAATAACACGGTTTCAATATTTTTTTACATTATAGGTGTTTCCGGAGAAAGTTTATATTGTACAGTTACTTTATCCTATATTTAAAAATTGTTGTTGAAATTCCATAATTGTGTTCGTGCAATATTTAATAACTTTTTTATCAAATGCCATTATTAATGCAAATGAAGCAACACCAGCAGGATGTTTCTTTAGCTTTTATCTTTTAACTAAAAATTAGTTTTAGTGATTCATCTCTAGAGCATGTAATTTTAATTAATGTATGTACTTACCCAATTATACACAAAATTGCCCCTGAAATGTATGCTATTAGACCCGGTTTTGACTTTGTTGTTGTATCTATTTCCGCCTGACAGTGTGGACATATCATGTGCGTTGGATTGGGCCCTACGGCCACTACAGTCGTGACGATTTCAGGTCCCTTCATAACTAAAACAAAGAATCATAAAATGAAAAATGTTGTTTCTCTGTAACATATGTACGAATCATACTTAAAATATGTATTAAAAATTAAGGAATTTTAAACATATTTAAGTAAGGCCCTTTCTTGATTAAACACTTTTCTATACATATCCACAGGGTGTACTTTAAAGATATGTAAAAAATTATTTGCAATATTTGAAAAAATATATATCTTTAAAGTTTTTTACGCGATTATTTTAAACCATTGAAAAATTGAGATAAAAAACACAATTTACGTTTGGAAGAAACTTTCATTCTGTTTTAAAAATATAAAATTCAAGTCAGTTATTTGTTGTATTTATTTTCTTTTAGATTCAAATTGCTCAATAGTCTTTAATTAAACAGTTCATAGTTTTATTCGACTATTCGAAAGCATTTGACACAATTAGTCATGACATTTTGGATAACATTTTAATGTTTGCTGGTTTTGATATATCTGCAATACAATTTATTTCTAACCATTTAGTAGGTAGACAACAAAGGGTAGTACTTAAAACGACATTTCGAATTCTATTAATACTAATTGTGGACTGCCACAAGGATCCGTATTGGGACCTACGTTGTTCTCATTGTATACCTTAATTTTCTAAAGCACTGTAAAATTCAAATGTATGCAGATGATACTCAACTATTCTATTCGTTTCATCTTAATGATATTCAAAATAGCAGTAATATAATTAATAGTGAACTCGAAACACTTCGTCGAATTTCACTGAAGCACTCTTTGCGTTTAAACCCTACAAAACGTGATACTTTAAAAATCAAACATTTAAACAAAGGGAGCAGTTTAAATATGTATTTCAGAACTAATTATTCCTCTACTTTCTTTTCTATTCCAAAAAATATACCTCTGTTTTGTTTTCCTCCTGAAAAGTCTCAATAATTTTATAGCTACTTACCGGTAAATTTGTTGTTTTTTTTTTTAGTCAGTACAGTATAAATTGTTTGCTAATTTTTTAGCACTAATTATTATTAATTTAGCACTAATTATGCTCCTCACAATAAAAGAAATCGTTCGATTACAGGGAAATCGGCGACTAAACGACATCTAGGCAGTTTTTTAAATCACCGAAAAACCACTCTTAAATAAGGAAAATCACATTCTAGGGGGTATAGCACTTGGAACAATTGTAAAAAAAATCAATGTTACTGCAGGACAGGACCATATCTATACGTATTTTAACCTGTTGACTCCGAATCATAAGTCGGAGTCACTCTATCACCCTCCAGTATGCAAAATTACTTTAAAATCTGGGAAATTCCTTCCGTTTACCCAGGGATTCTGCTAATGTGGATCTGTTGCCCACTGCTTCAACAAGAATACATCAGGAAATGAAATTTCGTTCGAAGCTTTATCGCTTAAGATTCTCAATTGGATTTCATCATTAGAAATTTAAAAAGAAATAAAGGCAAAAGCGTAATTACTTTGTGTGTTTCATTTCTTAAGATGTTGGCCTAACTCATCAGTAGGAAACGAAGCAGTTTGCACACTAGACAAATAAACACAGTACTGAAACAAAAAAACCCAACAGAAAATTAATTTAAGATGTATTTGTACTATGAAAAATGCTGATCTACTAGGGAATGAACGATGAAGTTTTGAAAAGTACTCGTAGAATTTTCCATATTTTCTGTATTTAAGGGAAGTTTTTCGCGATTTAAAAAATGGAGCAGTAATTCTGGCCTTGGATTCGGATTCAGATATCGTCCTGCAGACATTTTCAGTGGGTTTCCACAGTTATACATAATGCTGATCAATCCCAAAGCGAGATTTTCCATATTTTTTAAATTTAAGGAAGCTATACGATTTTTTTTTAAACCAATTGGAGATGGCTTATTATGGATAGCTGGTATTATAAAAAAAATAGGCGGAACAGAAAATAAGTATATACGTGTTTCCACAGTGAAGTTTTATTGAAATCGGTGACTGACATCTCGATAACCTTCCTTGTGAGTAAAGTAGAAAAATAATTTGCTTCTTGATAAAATTGCTGTGAAAAAGCAAGTTTTATTTCCTTACAGTACTACATACTTGATTAAATAACCGAATTAGACAATATTTGTAAGGTCATCTTTGTAATAGTAAATATTATTTTCCAGTAGTATAAATTACATCATATCGCTCCAATACACAGTATAACAATTATGCACATCCCCACTTCCAAATTAAAAAAAGATTATTAACATATGTGTCTGCTTATGAATATTTAGTACAAAACATAGATTACAGAGCGATATCGTTGACCTTGAATAAATATTTCAACGCTTACAGTGGGTAGACCGTGAACTAATTTTTTATTGTTACTATTTAATGGGAAGAGTGTGTTATTTCTGTAATTACAAACGCGCTTTCATTAGCTAATATGCTACAAATAAAAAAATATGTATTTAGGTATATTGGTCATTAAATAAGGTCGCGTGGTTAAAAAACACACTTATAAAATATACATAAAACCATTGTTAGTGTTTTTAATATAAACAATATTTTCATATGACTATTTTCCTTGAAACTACTGCTAACTTGGGTCACCAAAAAAACATAAAAGAAAACAAGTAGAAGATTTCCAACGTCTACAAAGTATTCTTATTCAACGAAAAAGAAATCTAGTCAATTTGGTACAAATTTATTTATTTTTGTAAAATTCTCACCATGCCAATATTTTGGAACAATTCAAAAGATGGTTAATTTCTTCGCAGACTTAGGCCATCTCTTTTCACCAAGAAGGTACGGTGCTATCGCGATAATGACTGGATACCGGGTTCTTCTTTCGACAAGTCTTCAAAGAGGAAATAAACAAATATTTCATCTGAATTCCCTCGTGAAGAACCTAGAGGTATGCCCTGTTTCGTCGTATTATTAGCGATGTTATTAAGACATTCGTGTAGAAGTGTAAGATTGTAGATTTAAGAAACGTCTCAGTACTATTAACCTGGTAAAAAACAACTTTCGCAGGTTCTACCAGAAGGGAGAAGTCAGCTAATACGTGAATATTAATAAAAGCCCAGCAAAGTTACGCTGTTTACGGTTTGGAAGAAAAAATTTGAAACCTGGAAATTATGGAAAGGAACCTCTGACAAAGTTGAAGTAAAATCTAACTAGAAGGCCAAAGATGCGGAAGTTTAAGATTATGGAGATCTACAAACATTATTGAAAAAATTGGTCGCAGAGGAAAAGACTGATGTATCCACTCCGTACAATTTAGAAATTCTACCGAAACTTAGCACAAAATAAATTAATTCCTTTTACTTTGCACAAGTTAAGTTAAAAATGATATTTCTTAGACATCTGGTTAATGTTCTCTTCAGTGTATTGATGTAAAAACAATTCCAGTTTTTAAATGATTATCATTTAAGAAAGGAATAGATCCATAGATTTGAAAAATGAGATTTTTGACGCAAATATGGAATCGTTGGGATTAATAGGAATGAACTGTAAGATAAATTCACTTGCCCCTGCCAGATTGTGATACGTAATTTATCCAATTCCTGCAACACACATGTGTTGTTTCCTTGGTCTTGGTATTTGTCTTGCCAATTTGTGTTCTTAGATATCATTATTTTGTAAGTAGTAAGTAACGTACTAATAAAAAAAACTCCTGAACAATTTACATATTAGTACCTATCCTCTTCTTCTACCAGGATCTGTTGTTCCTGTGTACTCGAAAATTGCTATTCTTTCTAAAGCAGCTTACATATGTTTTCATTTAGAATTTTTCTTCGCTTGTATTATGAAAGAATCCATAAAACTTTCAAAAAACCTAGTAGATATGTATGATTTTCTACCAAAAAGTGTGTTCTTGTAACTGATTGTATACTTTTACTTAACAACAGATTCTAAATTACTAATGCCTACAACAGTTGTTCAAATTGCCTTCCTTGGGCCTGCAAGCTTCTAATTGATATTTGGTCAGGTAATTGACGGCTTGTGTTTATTTCCACACTGGAAGCCAGTTGTTTCAAACAGGCCCAATGAGGAAATGTATTAACTATTAAGTGTAGCAACAGCTGAGCGAGTCTCTTTGAGCCGCTGAAACTACCGCTGATACGACAAAAAACTGGGAGAGAGTTGACGTCTTTCAGGAAAGGCGATCGGAGCTTTTCACAAAGTCCAGTACCAGTGTTTTATTATTATACATAATTATTTTAACTAAATAAATAGCCGACGTGAGAAATTAAAACACTAACAGTATTTTATTTGTTCAACTGCAAATACATTATTTGTACAGACGAATGTCGAGAACTGCTGTATATTTTAAACAGATCTTCAACTCGCAAAATTGAAACCATTCGGTAGGTGATAGACGATTCCTGTCTAAACTTAGTGCCCGTCAGGACATGTTGAAATACGCATAAGTTGACGCCGATAAATGAATAAAAATAACTTTTATATGTATACTTTGATGATCCCAGTTTCCAATATATCAAAGCGGTAAACTTTGGTATACATTTCACAGCAAAATTCGAATGTATCTTGTAGATCCTATCCAGAAGGCAATAAATGCTTTCCAAAATAAATATAAAAATATAACGTTTAACAATGTATTTAAATAGTAGAAAGATTGGTTGATTCGCAGAGATTGAAGCGTTTACAGTACTTTACAAATAAGAATTGGTCCTTTTTTAAGTAGATAACTGATACAACTAAAGCAAAAAAGTAAGTCACAGTTTGAATAGTAGGTATATACGAAAATAAAGTAGATTTATTTTGGAACTTCTAGTATAAATTGATCGACGTACATACAAAAATATAAATTATTTTGTTGCCTAAATTCAAAATGTTTATGGATCATCTTCATCATTTTTGGCATCTTCAATATTTCTGACTTCACATTCATATGGACAAATAAAAGTAATTAATACGATTACCATTAATTACCACCTACATACGTAGACCACCTCTACTCTGTAGTATCTGAATCAGCAAATTTAATATCATTTTTACAATTTCAAGGTGCAGTTAAGCGTAG